TCAGTGGATTCGCCAGTCGGACTTGACGCCTCCTCCTCAGTTGTCTTCTCTGGTAGTAGGGGTCTAACATCTCTCATGATATCGTTTCGGATCTTGTCCTCATCTGCTTTCGTCTTCGGCGCCTTTCTTCCCAAAGCACCAAACAGCAGTCGTCTTCCAGCACTTAGATCCAGCTTTGCTCGTCGTGACGAGCTTGGGTGGCTAGACTCGACAGAAGCTGGTAGAGGTTTTGGAGACAACGAAGGGGTATCAACTGCTGCAGTTCCTGGACCAGATGAGGGTCTTGACTTTTCAACTCCTGCACCACCATTCTGTGAAGTAGCTGACGTGTTCTCAATGTGATCGAGAGCCTTGGAGAAGGGCTTTGCAGCCTCCTGTAATTCAGTAGAGCCCTGAAACTCGGTAATCTGTCGTTCTTCGTCACATTGTTGTAACTCGTGCTGTGACTCGCAACCGCTTTGGAATTCGACGCTCTGTTTAGTGTCGACAACCTGCTGAGACTCGACGATTTCATCCACAGAATCTTCAACGCCTATCATCTCAATGTCAAAGCCAGCTTCACGAGCATGTCTAGGGAATTCTGTATCAACTTCAATGCCACCAGCTGCGAGAGATGCGAGCAACTCTTGCCTGCGACGCTGAAATTCGGTGTCTTGACTCGGAGCTTGATCAGGAGATTCACTGCTTCGTTTGGACTCCCTGGCAGATCTGATCGCTTCTGGTGTAGCTAATGCGGTTCCTGCGGATGTCTCTTTATCTACTTTCATGTCCTTGAAATCAACCATTGTGGTTCCAGCGGGAAGGGTCCCCTTCTTTAGAAACCTGTCACGGGCATTCGCATCCCTCCTGCGCTGGTTTCTTCTCTGGGTTCTGCTCATCCCTTGCTGGGGAGGTGCGGCCGGGAGGGTCTTTGGCTTCTTGTCCTGGGACGAATGTGTGTTGTCGAGTCCGGCAGGAGCACTAGCAGTGGTCTCTTGCTTACTAGAGGCCTCCTCCGGTGACTCTTCATCACTTGAGGAATTACTGCTGCTCTCGCTGTCGCTTTCGGAGGAGGATGTTTCATCATCTGAAACCTTTCCATCCTCTGCCTCCTCGTCGGAGGAATCACTACTATCCTCGCTGCTCCTAGTATCTGTGTCACTGGACTCCTCGCTCTGCTCGTCACTATCTTCTTCGCTTTCTTCTTCCTCAACTTGAGACTCTTTGTCTATGAACGGGGTTGAGGTGAGGCCTTTGGAGAAAGTTCCTTCCAGTGCAAATCTTACGCTTTTGTTGCTATTAATAGAGGCTGATCTTCTTGGCTCGAAACGTGATCGAGCAGGTGAGTTTTGTAGGGCCTCTGTCATAAACGATAAAGCTTTGCCAGACTCGATAGAACCCTTGGGGAGTCCATTCTGATCATAGTAACCGACAAGGGCATTCTCATCTAGCTCTATTTGCATGTTGTCCAAATTCTCCGATTCATGCACTGATGGAGTCTTTGCTTTGGACCGAGATCTCGGCACCGATAACTTGCCGAGCTTGGCTCCTTGTGAGATCTCAGTAACCGCACTTTTTGGCTTCTCAGGTATGAAGCCTCTCGCCATGGCTTCATAAGCTTCTCCAATATCTTCCGACCCATTGAAGACATACTTGCACACGGCCAGAGGCGATTTAGGAAAGGCAGAATGCAACTTACGGATCTTCGCTCGAGTGGCTTCGTCCTCTACATTTGCAAGCGCAGGCTCATCAGTGTTATCAGTATTTTCTCCAGTCGAATGTAGGTCGGCGGGAGGTTCTTCCTTATTTTCTGCTTCCTCCTCATCGTCTCCCTCAAGATCTTCTTCACTCAGGTCATCTTCTTCTGCATCTTCTTCGTCTCTAGGAGCAAAATCATCATCCTCGTCCTCGTCCTCATCATCAAAGTCAGCGTGCAAGACAAGTTGTCGGTTGTCCTCCTCATCAGATTCTTCGGTTGCCTTTTCTGAGAGAGCCTCGAATTCCTCAGGGTCTGCATCGCCCTCATTGTACTCAATCCTTTGCCTCTTTCGTGGTGGTATATTGACGGCAGGGCGATCCCCCGCCTTTCTCAAAAGTGGTCTACCCAAGGCAACGCCGTCAACAAGGTGCTTGCCATCGGCGGATATTTGTATGCGTCCAGAGACTCGACGAATCTTAATATCTTGTGTTAAGAGTGGGCGTATTCTAGAAAACGTTAGTCCTTGGAAACGGAATTGCAGCGCGTTAGGTTGCTCGTAGATCAGGATACGAACATGACTTCGTCTTCATCCTTGATTACACTGGCCAAATGCTGGAAGTGAAGACATTCGTAATTGACTCCGCTGCTGCCCTTGACTTCGACAGCATAGTCTTCCAAACCCCATTCACCGTCAGACTCGATTGGTATGGTTTCGTTTACCTGCTCAAGCAGGTGGAATATCGTTGGATTAGGGCTGGTGTCAATTGCCCAGACTACAAGCGTGTCCGGCAGGCGATGACGCCGAACTGTCAACCGTAACCTCATGACGGAGACTGCACACCTTGAGAATGGAATGCAATGGCGCGCGGAGTGGCACGGCAGAGTGTGGGGAAGGATTCAAGAACTGTTTCTGGCTGGATGTGACGAACGCGAAAACAGCTGAAAGTTCGCGTTGGCTCCAAGCGACCCCGCAGAAAATAAGGTTATGAGCTAAGCCTGATTGGGTAATTTCAGCGTCAGAATGCTTCTGTTTCTGCTTCATAACTCGACTGTAATTAATGAAAGTGAGATTTTCCGTGTCAATCGGTGAGACTGGTCTACGGAGCTCTTGTACTATTTGCGAGACGCTCGCATTAATGTAAATGGGTTGCAGCAAATATCAGCGGCGAGTGAATCTTTGAGCTGCTCGGAGATAATAGCTCTAAGAGCTCCAATCGCCGAGGCAAGGTTTCTGATCAGCAAATGATTCAGTACAACTTCAAGTTCTAACTTTCGTCTCCATTCTCAATCGAGTTCACCACCTCTCGAAGTTTGAAACGTCTCAAGATGTCATGTCCAGCTTGCTTCCAAGGCGGAGTCTCAACCAGTCATCCTACAGGCAAAGAAACTACAATTCACGGTCTTCAAACTTACGTTGCGGAGCCAGATGAGGGAGTTACACCGAAGGGCATAATAGTCTTCATCACTGATGCTTTTGGCTGGGAATTTGTAAACAACAGGGTCTTGAGTGACCATTACGCAAAGGCTGGCTTCCTCGTCATGTGTCCGGACTTCATGAATGGTAATACTCACTCTCAACCTTGTTTGAAACCCTTCTAACAGCTTACTAGGAAGCGCTCTGAGCCCCAGCGCTCTCCAGCTAATGGACAAGATCATGGAGCCCGGATCTTGGTTCAATGCATTTGTGTGGAAGCCTTTCTACGTCCTGCAAGCAATGGTTATAGCAATCCCTTGGATGTACAGATCACGCTTCTCTGTCACTACACCTCGTGTTTTCTCCTTCGTTAAGGCTCTACGAACCTCACCTCCTCCATTCGCTACAGATAACCTCAAGATTGGGACTGCCGGCTTCTGTTGGGGAGGGAAACACACAATGCTGCTCGCAGCAGACACTCTGTCGTCCCGAGTGTATAGACACGAATCACAGGTCAATTCTGCATCCCTCGAGCCGTTAATTGACTGTGCCTTTACTGCCCACCCCTCCTCGATCAAGGTCCCAAAAGATATTGAAGCAATCACTATTCCAACCAGTGTAGCTATTGGCGAGAATGACATGGCTATGGCGGCACCATTGATTCAACAAATGAAGAACATCCTCGAGAATCAGAAGGTGGGCGAACATGAAGTCGTCATTATACCTGGGGCAAAGCACGGGTAAGTCCCAACTCCCTGCTGTTACACCCTACTTTGCATTGCTTCCAGATCTGTGGAAACATCTAACCGCTCCTGGCACATCTCTTAAAACTATTTGAAACGGGGATGCTGACTCTGATTTCCTGGGTAACAGGTTCGCAGTCCGGACACACCTAGAAGATAAGCATGAGATGGACTGCGCTCAGCAGGCGGAGGATCAAGCTATTTCATGGTTCACTCGATGGTTTAGTTGAATGCATTTGTGAATTGGTGGAGCTTTGTTCATGATAACCTTGGAATTTGTGGTGAATTGTACATCTGCACAAAGCCATCAATTTATTGTACGTATGGATAGCATCAAATGTATGCACTTTGCACTGTTGCTATTGCGCCCATGTTGGTAGAGGAAAGACGACATTCTACTTTTGTCTCACTGATTGCGAATATCCTCAAATTCCTGAACATCCCGATGAAACTTTACCACGGCCCTCGTCAAATCTGACCTTCTTGGGCTCCCTCACAACCACCTTTGTTTCCCGTTTCCCGAATATCCAACCTATTAACCCAAAACCCCAACAAACCAGGCCCACAACCCATCCCCAAACAACCAGGAAGACCGTGAAGCCCAAACAAGCACATATGACTGTGAAAACAACCATGACAATCACCGCTCCTAGCAAACAGAAAATATACAAGAGTTCAGGCAGGAATAAGAGAGCTCCCATGAATATGATAGTCAACCATCCAAAAATGATAGCGAGTCCATTTAGGAATAGACTCAAGAGGATGAACATCTTGACTGTTGAGATTATCAGAGAATCTTAGACAGACTCAATGCTAGACGATTTATTACAATTTATAGAAAGAGACAATTGTGTAGAGAATTATTGCTAGAGCAAGAAACTCCTTTGAAAGCAGTTTAAAGACAAAGCAACCAAACAACAAAAGCATAGAAGGTGAAACTATGATATGTAGATTGAGAACAAAGGCCATCTAAAACAAAGGCCATCTCAACCCATTTCTGAATGATTTCTTTGAACCTCTCAAATCAGCTTAGACATCCCTGTCTGCCCTACTGCCTCATCCCATCCCTTTGTCCCAACCCCGTCACCAACGGCATTTTCCGACCTTTGCCCCACTGTTATACCTAGGCGCATGTACTGAAATAAGGGAATACATTCTCTAAGAAGGTTGCTTAGTGCAATGGTAGCGCATCTCCAATAAATTCTAGCTCTTCTTCCGGTGTACACTAGAGCTCTTGGGCTCCCTTGGATAGGGAAGGAAGTAGCATTTGGACGGAGAAGGTTATAGGTTCGAATCCTATAATGACCAAAAATACTTTTTTTCTTCCCCATGACGATATAGGGGCAAGGAAATACATGTTTTGGGCAAATAAACTTAAGCGAGTGAGGGATGGTAAGTGTGTAATTGCGTGCTTTAGCAACATGAAAAATGAATTGAGCAAGCGATGACCAGGCGAATTACGGTATCACCGTCAGCAATTGTCCTAGGTTGCCATAGAGCATTTACAAACATAACAGGGTACTAATATGAAGATAGCAGAAGGGTAACACTCAGTAATGACATTGCATACAAAATCGTCCCTTCAATGTTCTGAACAATCAGAACAACATGGAACAGTACTAGTGACAAACTACAGAAAAACGCAGGTAAGTCATTGATCGGCATGGCTAAAACGATTGGCAATGTAGAATGGCAAGTAAGAAGCAGCTTCATGGCAGAGTTTAAAGCTGGATAGGCCAAATTACGTGCCAAGGCAACTTCTCCTGCAAGCAGTTGAGGAGGGTGGAAATCAACGCCGATCCCAATCTTAGCAAGTGCTTTAATAAGGTCCAATTCCAGAGTCGTGCTTTTCCCTCTGTAACTTGAAAACCAGTCATTTTCCAAATAACACATCCTATAAACCCTCTTTTGCAAGCATGTCTGCAATGTCAAGGTAGAATGCAATAGCATTGAACCTGTTACGAAGTTAGCAGACACAATACAAAGTTCAAATCCAAAACTTACTTCCTTTCATTCCCACTCAAGTGTGATAAAGCCCATTTAATTCTATTCGTCCAGTTGATCAAGTCTAAGTGATGAACGTTCACTAAAGTTCCTTTATAAGTCCCCCATTTTGCGCTTTCTACACTAACCAAGCCATCATTGACCCCCTCCAGCTTCTGCATAATCTTATGCGGCTGTCGAAAAGCACTCCAGAAGCTGGGATTGAATGTAGCCCCATAAGAGAAATACCTCACGCCTTTCGCATCTGGCGTTTTCGGGTTGAATTTTTCGGCCATGTACTTCCTGGTCAACTGACTAAAAGCTCCTGTACTGATGCCCAGCCTATCAAAGAATTTGTAAAAATGGGGCAGATAATCGGGGCCAATCTCCTGGAAACAGTAGTCTGCAAAGGCAGAACCTCGATGTGGAGTAGCAACCGTCGTGAGTGATAGGACTTCGACATTATTGGGTTGCAGTTGAGATATCATGTATCGAGCATCCAAACCTCCCATACTGTGAGCTATAATGTTCACACTCTTTCCATTTGCCTTGGCAGCTATATCCTTTCCTAGTTTCGCAGCTCGTTCTTCGATTGAACCCAAAGCAGGGACCGAGGCAGTGATGACTTCGATACCGTTTCCGCGTAAAGCGTCGGCGATCCCACGCCAGTAATGGACTGGAGGGACATGAAAGAACTTCGGAATTATCCGGAGCTCATCGAAACCCATGAGACCATGTGCGAGGACAATTGGATGTTTAGGAGTAGCTGTAGGCATTAGCAATGTCCGAAGTCGGGAAAAGTCCAAGAACGATACCATAATTCTCCCTGATCGTAGCAAAATCATCTTCAATAGCTCTCCCTAAGATATTGATTCTCGGATCTCCATCAGGCTTCTTCTCTTTCTCAGCCATGCGCATACATCGACCGCATGAAAAAGTCCTGGATGTCGATGACATGACGATGCTTCTTGCGCAAAAGCGGACATCTTGAAGCCTCCATCTCGTGCGCGCTACACGGGCTACCAGTATCGTCATCGCAAAAACCAAAACATTGAGTTCGGGAGCGTTGGTGAGGTGATGCCATTTTGAAGAAGTCGCGTTCGAAAGCGTTGTGAAGACTTTCGCGATGGTGTCAGTGACGTCGACTGAATACCTCAACCCCTGCAAGCATGTGACTTGAAGCAGCAACAACCAAAAGGAAAACCTGAAAACTTCAGATGGATCTTTTATGACACAGCGCATAGTAGAAAAGTCTCTGGCTGTATATGAGGACTTTCTTATGGGATGGTCCCTTTAATGATATAGAAGGGTATCTTTAAGCTCTCGAAGAGAAGGATATCATTGTAATACGGCAAGGCAGTCTATACAGCTTCCTTGCCGGCCCATCAGTTTCCCAATTTCGAGTCCAAAGCTACTTAAAGCTTATGTAAGCATTGTCCATCTCGAACCAAATCTAGGTCGTACAATTCGTACAATTTCCGTACTCCAAGCCAAGGCGTCCAGTCTATTTGGGCTTCTCGATACGTTCTGGAACAACAGGTGTGATTTCGAACACAGCTTTCAGCAAATTCTCGACAACCTTGTCCTGTCCCGTTTTGCCAGCCTCCTTGATCTCCTTTATCTTGGTCTCGGCATCCTTATTTGCATCCTCCTCGGCCTTCTTATTGCCACTTGTATGCTGTAGACCACATAATTAGCACATTCATCCCCAATGAATCTTCCGTAGAGTCTGCGATATTCAAGGATCGGGGAGGAGAGTACTGCCAAGGATGACATACTTCAGCCTCAAACTTCTTGAACTCCTCGTCCTTAGATTTCCGATATGCCTCAATCTCCTTCTTGGCTTCGTCTCTCGCCTCCTTTACACGCTTTGTTCGATCTACTACACTTAGTCCTTTCCTTCTCGAGCTCGAATTTGTTTATGCGGGGCTTTGCTCACATTCTCTAGCTGTATCACAGTTAGCTCTCGTAACCCATTGCATACGCTTATGTAGACAAGCCTTACCTCTCTGAACAATCTTCTGGGCTTCTCTCTCAGCCTATCACCATCAGCATCTCCCTTCCTAATTCCTAAGCGCATTCTCTCGCCGCTGGTACATACATCCAGGAGTGTCTGGATCCCCGCCGAATTTTGTGCCGACTGCGAGACAAATTAGTCCAACGTTCCGCAGGTAGCTGGAGATTAGATATACCATATTGCAGGGCTCCTTCTTTCCTTCAATGCTTGCGTGGTGTGGTTGAAGCTCGTTATCGCTGGAGGTGGAGATAGAGGATCGAAGGTAGGGTAGCTTCGCTCCAAAAGCAACGAGAGCTTCAAGACCCCTGCTCGGCTAGTGCACTTTCGAGCAACTTCATCGCAACTTCCACTTTCTCAGCTCCGAGAACTTTACCATGTCCCGCTGAAAAATAATTGCAGAATTAGGGAGATTTTCAATCAGAGCCTAGAAGGTGGGGTCATAATGTCAAGAGCCGCGAAGCTCACCCTTACGGGGACGTCCCTCTTCGCGATTGGCACCATTTTCTTTGTGCATCACGCTCAGCAAGCTGAGAAGGCTGTACGTCTTAGCTCTTCTTCTTGCAGATTCAGCAAGCTGCAAGCTGATACATACCACAGGCAATGCACCAAGGGGTGGTTCGAGACGTGGAACAGCAGCGGTTGAAGAAGGAACGCCAACTCGATTTCGAGATGCAAAAGGCTCTGGAGGAGGAATATAAGAAGATCCAAGGGGTACATGACGGAGGGACAGTGCTGGATAAACAGCGATGACACGGCCCTATTCTCCTACGGATCCCTCTTCGGTGTACCATAGACATAGGTGTACAACAACAAGGCACTGGGTGGCGAATCAGCCTATTCTCAGGATAAGACAAACGGGATACCAGCATAGGCATAGGCATATCACAGGCAGGCACGAAAAGGGTTCAAAATATTCAGCTGAATTCATTTTCCCGAAATCTAGATATGGTACAATAAAGGACATCTGGAAAAAAAAAGTGCCCAAAGATTCTTCTGTTCTGTCGGATTCGCTTTTTGCCTCACGTATGGCAAACGAACTCGACCGCATCAGGATATGCAAATGCTGTCAAGGCCTTTTTTCTCAGTCTCGCTCCTTCCCAAACGCCCCAATATGCAAAGACTTTCTCCTCTCTCTGACCGTGTCTCCATTTCTCATCATACATTCTTACATCCCCCTTCCGCTTCCTCACCACTCCCACTAGCGAACTGAAATACCAGATCTCTTGGTGAACATTCTGGATGCAATGTTCATCGATGCCAGCTCCTGGAAGAGAAGTTTGGCGGCGTACGGTATGTGGATTTGAGAGATCTTGGTTTTATTTTTGCAAGGTCTGCACTCGAAGGACTGTGTGGAAAGTTTGCTAGAAACAGGTCAGCGTCAAACACCGAATGTATATGAATCCAACTTACGCAATCGGTGTCATAAGTCCACAGATGTCACACACGTGGACTCTGAATGCATCCGAAACCTCGAACAATCTCTCCTTCAGGAAGGCGCTTGCTCCGTGCGAGATCATGCAATCACGCTCCATTTCTCCGAAGCGAAGACCACCATCTCTGGCACGACCTTCCACTGGCTGTCTGGTCAAAATCTGGACAGGCCCTCTAGCTCGTGCGTGGATCTTGTCGTCGACCATGTGACGGAGACGCTGGTAGTAAGTTGGACCCAAGAATACTTGTGCCATAAGCTTGCGTCCAGTGTGACCATGATACATGATCTCAAATCCACGAGATTGATACCCATGATCGCGAAGGAGCTTGGATACCGAATCGACGGTAACTTCGGTAAAAGGTGTAGCGTCACCCTCAAGACCACGAAGCGTGGAGACCTTACTCAATTGACATTCAATTAAATGAGCAATTGTCATACGGGATGGAATGGCGTGAGGATTGATGATCAAGTCTGGCACAATGCCCTGCCTCGTAAAAGGCATGTCCTCTTGTCGGTAAGTAATACCGATTGTTCCTTTCTGTCCGTGACGAGAAGCAAACTTATCACCAATCTGAGGAATCTTGGTTGTTCGCATTCGTACCTTGACGAAGCGGAGCCCTTCGGCGTTGGTTGTGATGAGGACTTGATCGACGATACCATTCTCCGTGCTACGTAAAGGTGTGGATGCATCTCGTTTGACATGTGCCTTTGTGCGCTGGCCAAGCTCTTCGGCATCTGGTGCAATTGGCGCGGTCTTCCCGATGATGATATCCTCTCCTGAGACACGAACACCAGGCGCAACGATCCCATCATCGTCGAGCTTGTCATAAGTACCATGCTTCAATTTCAACGTGTCTTGTCTGAAGGGCTTCTCAA